GATTGGCGGGGGCTGATAAACTTGGCATGAGACGTTTAGGCCGCCTAACTATCCGGCCAGCGCCTTCAGACAAAGAAACAAACCTGACCCTTGAGGTTGGGTCTGCGGTTGATGCTTGGTGGAGTGATGGCTGGTGGGAGGGTGTTGTGACCAGTGTTAACAATACCAGCAACGATGTACAAGTTTACTTTCCTGGTATGATTATTGTGATTGGACAGTCGTAGGTTATAACTTATAACTTGAGCTCCTCTTCTATTCTTATACCGAGTTGCTTTCCTCTATCCAGGTGAAAAGTTTGTTTTGAGCATGCAAAGAAATTATATTAGAACCTCCCAAGATTGGGTGGATGATCAGTGGATAGAAATTCAGCCAAAACCAGACATACTCTCAGCAATATCCGCAACTATAAAATTGCCCATTTGCTCAACTACCGCAATGGGCAACAGATGCAACAACACACCTGCACCCTGTGCTGAAAATGATCAAACAGATAATATTGAAGATGAAAAAACTGCTGAAACTACATTGATAAGCTCTGATGGTGTCGAGGAAGATATGGACTCTGACAATCTTAGCCAGCCTACATCAACTGACGAACCTATGGAATGTGGTGATGGTAGACAGTCTATACTGAGTGACAAGGGCCGTGCAGATTGTGTTGATGATATTTCAGCCAATAATAACAGTAAAGAAGAGGATGAGAATCCGTCCAATGACAGTGTTCCTCCAGTTGATGGAGTTGCTGACATGGAAGTTACTAATGAGGTTGTGGAGAAGAAAGTTGGTGCTGATGATAACAGCAGTGAGAAACTGGAGATGGAGGTGTTTCCTTCTTCTGGTAACAATTGCAAGTATATAGAACTCATGGAAGTCTCGTCATAAACTTCGATGCTGCTTCTGCTGGCCTTGGATTGTGATGGAGCTCCTGGTTTGCATATAGTTGGTTGAAGGGTTCCACTTGGATGCTCTATGTAAATAGTGACTACTGATATGGGAAATACTAAAACTGATTTTCCCGTCTGGCATTCAATAGAGATCATAAATCTACAGATTGGTGTAGGGTTAGATATATGTTAGATTCTTGTGGTAGATTTGTAGTGTACAAAGATGGGGGATTCAAGCTTTTTGATTGTTTTGGTCAAAAGCCCTCCATATTGATGAGTCAGGATTCTAAGTCTTGTCATTAGCTCAGTTAAGTTGTGTTAAATATGTGTATCATATATGTGTTCAGTCTCCCATCTAATATCAAGGTAAACTTACATTACTTCCTATTTCTTTGCAACTATACAAAAGAAGTGTGCCTGCCCTGTACTTGTCTTTCTAAAATGTGACAGAATCCCCTTAAATGGGAGGAGAAGGGAAGGAATGAAAGAATAACCAACGGAAAGAAAGAAGGGGAAGAGCTACAGTCTCAGCCATTGGTGTCCATCTATGAATCTCAAGTCCAAGAAGGGTTTGACCTGCTGAAAATTCAAGCGAGTTTTCGACCAAGGTACTCTCCTACTTGTATCTGCTCCTCTTCCCATGCATCTGTACTCTCCGAAAACTGCAGTTCTGCAAAACACCCAAGCACAGCGGGCATTCGTCGTTAGTAAGAGGAGTAGATATTTATATTAGTGAGAAGAAGAAATGGCAAACAAGTGATTGAGTTGTGTTCTTGTTGGAGGGTTAGTAGTACTTACTCTCGCCTGCTAGGTTGGTTAAAGTCACCCCATCCTTCTGGTGTAATCATGTCCTGAATATTGCAGTAGGAATAGATGACCCTTGAATAGTTGCCCCATGCCCTTCCCAGCAGAATCTTCCCAGTCCCTTTGATCAAGCAACCCACGAACGAGAAACCACTGTCCTCCTCCGCCGCATCCCTGTGATGTGCTGCGATTGCTCCGCCATGCCCATGCTTGGCTCTCGACTCCACCACACAGTCGCGGAACAGCGTCCTGCCCCGGCCAAAGATGAAATCAATGCTGCCCAGAATGTGACACTGGTAGTAGTAATGCGATCCGGCGTCGTCCAGCAGCGTGTCCTGTGAACCTATGATCTTGACCTTGTAGAAGAATGCTTTGTCCCCTGAAATCCTCAGCGCCACTGCTTGATTTCCATAATCTCCTGGAACTGCCACTACCGTGTTCTGACAAATAAAAAACAAAGTCATTAGGTCAACCTCGTGTTCTTCAGTTTATGGAACCCTGACAAAGAGCAGAATCGTGATGTTCTTTCTCCTCTGGGTTTGTTGTAAGAATTACTAATAATAAATACCTCAAATGTGATCCCAGTGGCGCAGAAGAAATCAGAGTAAACGCTAACCGACGCTGTACTGAAAGTTCCAAGCTCCATTCCTTTCGAGTCCAAATCAGAAGCTCTGTTGTGCCATGTTATCACTGTGTTGGACATGTTGCCTTCGTCCCCAATCAACGAGATGTACGGCTTGGTAACCGGCACAACCACCTTCTCCCTGCACATAAACGGACAAAAGGTGAGCCACTAAACCCTATTTTGATGCTAAAACCAGGACAAGTTTGGAAAGTCGGGTTCAAAAACCCCGCCTTTCTTTGATACAGAATGCCTAAACCATGTGAGTCACCATAGTCTTTAGTAACCACCACAGAACCCACAAAGGTAACCACTTTCTTAGCTTACGCCATTCTATTTCACGCCCCCCACTAACCCATGAAAGTAGCTGGTGAGAGAGAAGCTAAAAAAAGAAACCAACTTCTCTTTTTTCCCCCACTCTGTTTTTGTTTTGAACTGAAAACAGAGCATATCCAGATAAAACAAGAAAACCAGAGAACTAGTCGAATCACTGACCTGTAGATTCCGGGGAGAATGTGGATCTTAACCCTCTGAGTGTTGAATTCAGTGACCAAATCCACGGCTCCTTGAACAGTGACGGAATCTCCGCCGCCGTTCTGGTCAACCACGATCACTCTGCTTCCTCTGTAATATTCCTCGCCGTGACTCGGCCTCGCCTCCCCCTGCTGCTGCTGCTCAGTACCGTTGTCAAAATCAAAGCTATGACTATAAGCATCCAGCCTCGCGTCATCCCAACTTATGAACTTCCTATCAAACGTCTGCATCTCCTCCCCTGCCGCAGCACTACATGGCCCAACAAGCATCAGTACCACCGCCGCAACAACAAAAAAAACAGAGCACTTCCCCAACTTCGCCATTATCAGACAATGTGGCAATTAATTGATCCTACTTATGATCCAACTACAGTAGCTACTCAGTCGAAGAAAGAAAACGACTTCTGAATCTGGGTTTGGCCGGCCGATCGGGGAGTATTGAGAAGTAATGGCTATGAAAAACGAGGGACAAAAAAAAAACAGGGGAGAAAACAGAGCAAGTAGCGGAGGCAAAGAGTATGTTGTGTGTTAAATGGTTAGATGATTAACCTTTGAGCTCCGGTAATTAATTCTAGAGTCTGTATATATAATGGAGGTTTTTTGGGGAGCTTTGTGTTAAACGAGTAGAAGAAGGAGAGATTAACTAAGGTCTCTTTTTTCATGATCAGGTTTGGGTTAGTAATTGGTTTTCTTGTTAGATTAGACTTGGTAATAAAAAAACAAACGTGAGCTTAATCACGGATCAGAGGTGATTATGGAATAGCTAATCGTTTTCGGAGTAGTAGAGTAAGTAGTAACCGTTACCAAAAGGGAGACAATAAGACAGTGGGATACGTTTTATTTCAGGTTGGCAACTTGATCGTGTATTAAACAGAGAGTGGTGACTTGTAACTCAAGTTAATGAGGAATTGTATAGACAGGCAGACCATCGACTTATTTACTTGATCACTTAAATCGGGATGGTGTTACCGTCTTTATTAATTAAAGAAGTTACACGATTCGATAAGAGAATGTTGAGAACTGGTCTGGTGATAACGTGAGAATGATAGCATCCACCGCAAAATACTTTGAAAGATATGGACAAACAATCACCCTTACGAACAAAACAGAACTATTTAGAAATTCTTACTGGTAAAAACGAAACATTCTTGATCAAACCTTTCACCTATATGGTAGGAAAGGAAAGCTTTTTATAAAATGAAAATGGCAAATGTATATTGAAACTTTAGGACTTTACGACTGGAAAGGTCTGCGATTTTGAAATATCATACACACGTCATGAAATGTTGATAATATTGTGATTCGAATAACCAGATCTTGAACTCCATCGTCATCCATAATGTTTAAGATGACGTAGTGATAAAGTGGAGTAAGGTGAAACCTGAGTTCAAAAGCCGGACTAGCAGCATTATCCACCCTCATTAAGATTTCTGAAGTTGCCACTGAAGATACGAAATGACAAATAACACTAGTTGAGTATACATAAAATCGTGTCATTTTCTATAAACTTGAAATTCATGGCATATCATAAACTTGCTACCAACCATCAATTCTATCAACGTTGTCGACTCACGGGTCGACTCATTTTGATTCTACCTCGATGAGAAAAACGGGTCGCACGCACCCGGTCACCCGCTTGGTCGACCGCTACAAGGTACCGGGTTGAAGGTCAAATTGTGTTATTTTTTTTTTGGTTTGCGAAATACGCTTATTTTTCGATTTTTCTTTTCGCCTAACTCAATCTTTGGAATCCTAAGTTGAACATTTGCATATTGATGTTGTAGAAGTGTGTGTGAATTTTCACTATATGTTGGATCTAAGTACAACATGTTATTTTGGTGTAATATTATATGTTATAACTCATATGTTAAATGAGATTTGATATAATTTATCACGATAAGTACAATATAATGACTCCTTCCATATTTTCGGGCTAAAACGGGTGACCCATTACCCTTGACCCACTAGCTCGACCGGGTCCGAGTCAGCCCACGGGTTGACAACCAAACCAACCACAATCAAGTTCTTGGGCTTTCATTGGACAGTAAATGTCTGCGTAAGCCCAGGAACTTTGACCCAAATCTATCACTGGGCTTACAATCCAGTCCAGTCCAGAATCAATGCTCCCTCTTCTTCTCGAATATTTATTTTCGTTTAATGGGTTTCCTCATTTATTTTGATTTTTTAGTTTATTTTCACAACGAAAATCTAGAAAACAATTCGGATAACTCAATCCCGCAGGCAAAGGTTCGGCGCTTCCATTTCTGCAACAAAGAAGAAAGAAGAGAGTTAGCAATGGCGGCCACCTCTGTATCTGCGTCGTTGGTTTCTTCCCTGACGATCTCAAGCTCCCCTTCATTCGCCTCCAAAGCAACTCTCGCTTCAACAAAGTTCTCGTCTTTGCCATTTCCTTTATCTACGCTGTCCAAACCCTCGCTGCTGGGCTCATCTTCAAGCCGGGTCTTCGCCGCACCTGAGGCTTTGAATGCCCAGGAAACGCTAGACCCACCTTCAGAAACCTTTGATGACTCTGATTCCGCCACTTACGAGGTCCATTCTTGTCTATTTCGCTCTCTTTTGATAAGTGGATTTTCCCCCTCTTTATTTGGCAAAAGTTTGGGTTTTGGTTGATGGGAAGTGAAATGTGTGCTGTTCAATTGTTCTCACTGTTCACATCTTGAGAATTACGGGTTTGGAAAATGTGTTCATCTCAAACAATTCGCTTCGTGCATCCCTCTCCAATCATGTTCTTCACTTACAGTTTGAATTTTGTGTTGTTCCGTGGATTTTATGGTTCAGTGTAGCTACCATTTTGTTGTTGGTATTCTTGTTTGTTCAATTGAACTGTCATGAGCTGAGATTTTGTGAGGATTGAAGATTTTGTAGCCGTTGAGTTGCTGGCTTGTCTATTTCTTGGTGATGTAGGTTTCAAGTTCTGAGACTCCCAGTTCTCCATCACTCAGCATTGATGCTGATACAGACACGGTATGCTTCTGGCTTATTATCTTTCGATAACTTCAAAGGCTTAGAGATCACATTTTTGCAAATAACTGCTTTGTGCTTTGGTCCAAATAACTGCTGGTGGTTTTAGCTGAGAAACCAGCATTCCATTTGGTTTACCAATAGTTACCCGTAGAGTTTCTCAACTCGCGAGAAGTTCCATATGGATTCTGTCTCTGGCGTTTCCGATTGCTTCCCTTAGCTGTTTCTTCATATGTCTGAACTTTTCTCCTTTTCCTTGATGCTGCTCCTGTTTTCAGATGGCCCCAAAGCAGAAGATCAGAATTAAACTTAGGTCATACTGGGTACCCTTGATTGAAGATTCCTGCAAGCAGATATTGGATGCTGCAAGGAACACAAATGCCAAAACCATGGGTCCTGTGCCGTTGCCTACGAAGAAGCGAATCTACTGTGTTCTGAAATCACCCCACGTGCACAAGGATGCAAGATTTCACTTCGAGATCCGAACTCACCAGAGGTTAATAGACATTCTCTACCCAACTGCTCAGACTATCGATTCACTTATGCAGCTTGACCTCCCTGCTGGAGTCGATGTGGAGGTGAAGCTATGAGAAACCGATGCTTCATTTAGGTAAAAAAAATTGTTGTTCAATTGCTTGATTTCTGCTCATTTGTAAACTACTGGAAATAAACAGTATGTGAATTCTGTTTATCTTCTCCACGATGAATGCAAATCTTTTTGATTAGTTGCATAGATTGTATTTCCACATTTACTTTTGGCATTTGTTCAGTTCATGTTTAGGTTCTCTCTAGCCACTTATGGGGCTCAACTAGTGAATCTTTTTTCTTTCGTCCTGATTATTCTCTCAACAATTCGTCTAAGAATATGCGTACTCTTTGTCTTCTGATACTCTAGTTATGAGGACCATACAAATTGAAGTAGGAATCAATATTAAGCAGCACTTGTGTTGGTCTTAATACTCCATGTGCTGAGCTTGATGGTAGGAATCAATATACAAATTGAAGCAAGAAAATGAATAAACCAACTGTTTCCGTTGCATACTTGCATTACTATGGTTGCTGCTACATCGAGGAATATGTTTGTGTTTGAAACTCTCCCTTCAGAATCGTGGTTAATGAATCGAACCTTGCTATTGCAGCTCGACGAGTTCTTCCACCTTCTACGAGCAGCAACGGAATGAACGATTGGTGTTCTACCAAAAGCTGGTGGAGGTACTTGAACAGTAGGGGTCTGTAAGAATGCTTGATTAGCTTTAATTAATCACCCTTTTAGATTCTATGCTTAAATGATTTGTTTAGCTGTGTTGTATGAACGATAATGAGTGCGGCGAGAATATGTACTGTTGTTACACTGTGTAAGGTGTTGGGAAAAGGATGGAAGCATAGACCTCTTCTCTGATCATCTTTCTTCCACGCCTGTACTTGCAGATTTTGTTCATAGCATCGGATATTTTCCAATCTTTTCACTATATTCTCCATGGAGGTGCTGCTAACTGCGCTCCTTGATAAGGCTGCAACGGAAGCTCGCCTAAACATATCATCTTTCTTTGCACCTACTCAGCTAGCATTATCGTGAACTTGTTGCAGCCATTCTTTTGTTGTTTAGCCCTGGATCGGGTTGACGAGATTTGCTAAAGGATCAACCTTTCTAATGTTGAGTAAAAGTGACTGACATGACATTGCCTTCACTTCACTCTGAGTGGAAAAGTTGGAGTCTTCTTCCTCCCCATCCTCTTTCTTTCATAATGGTAGCTTGGCCAACTACTCATTTAGTACATGCACCAACTGGGTTCCTCGGATTCAGCTATATCATTGACATTGCCGACTAAAATGTTATCTTGTCTCCAAATCTTCGTCAACATTTGCCATTTTCAGGGAATCTAAGTAACTCGCACAAGGAGGTACGAATGTTGCATGCGTACCCATAAATTTTACATAGGGGTGTCTTCTTTTAGAAAATAAAATAATTCTTATATACGAAAATATCTAAATCGTACGAGTTAAAAAAAGTCCACGGTAAAATACACTTGAAGTCTATACTGCTCAAATAAACTGTCCTTGTATATTCACGAAATGATCACATATTCGATTTTTAAACTTGTTCTTGATGTAACCTAAATCTGAAAAGACTCTTTCAACACTTACCGTACAACAGTGTTTAAGACAGTTTGATTAATCGTTAGGTTTTGAAAATAATTAGAGATAGAGAATGACATTTTACTATTACACAGTGTTTAAAATCGAACAACAAATTGAGTTGGAGTCCAAAAAAATTATTTTTATTAGTAATAAATACTGCACTAGGTTTGAATTATTCAAACTACAACTTATATTCCCATAAGCAAACTAAAAGATGAGGGCAGGATCATCATTTTTTTCAAATTTCATGGGCGTCCCCGACTATCAATTATAATTTTTTTGCCGATATATAATTTACCACCGGAGATAGAATAATTGTTTTCCCAAAATTTAGGTGGGCGTGTGCCCCTGGCATGATTTACTTCCTAGTTCGACGGCCCAAGAAAATCGTATAAATAAGTTGTAGTGATCGGAGCTGGAATCCAGCCGTAATCGATGACGTCCTCCGACGGCGCGGAAACCCATACATCGTATTTGTTTAATTTTGGATTGGAAAGCCCATTCATGGTATTTTGTAGGAGGATTGGATTTGGGTATTTGGATAATAATAAGGCCAAATACACTTCTTTTTTTTTTTTACAAAAAGACCAAATACACTTTTTGTGTAGCCAAAATTTTGAAGTTTATTTTATAAATGATTTTTTTGTTAATAAATTAACTAATTATTTTAAAATAAAATCTGACGTGTCACGTATATGTGGCAAGCATTGGTGAGTTGTCAATGACGTGTCAGGTGAGTTGGCACCCAGTTCATCGTTTCGTTGATTTGACTAACGGTGTCACTGACGCCGTCAAACTATGTAACGAAAATGACTATTATTGTCATCAAGCTTTCAAATTTCCGGCTATTATTGGTATTTCTCAAAAAATGGCTATTATTGTCACAACCGTCAAAATTTTGGCTATACATATAAATTTTGCCTAATAATATATAAATAAATAACAATCTGATTGATGGATGGAAGAGTGGAGAAAGGAGTAAAGGCAAAGTCAAAGTGATCAAGATAATCTTTTTTTTTTTTTCTCTTTCTTCTTCTTTTTCTACAGTCACCGGACCGAAGGTCTCTGCCGGCTGCCACCGGGGAAGTGACAAAGTCAAGATTTAAGGTTGGCCGGCGCGTCAGCACTAACGTCACGGCGGCGTTGTGCAAATTGGGTTTGACTTGATTGACTGTCTCAAATGATTGGGCCTTGGTGTCTGCATAACGAATACTTAATCATAACACCAAATCATCGAAACAAACATTATCCTAATTTGACAGGTAGGCAGTTTAGGACCCAAAATACCTGCTGTATTGTTCGTTTGTTTGATCAAATTGGGTTATGTACAAGGATACACCATTTCTTAGTTTGACTCAAGGTTCTCGAACCGATTTATTCTATAATGTCGGTTTGGCAAGTGATGTGATTTGGTTGGTGATACTAATCATACCGGGGCATTCCAATCGATTTTTTTAACCGATATCGACTGAACCCGATTCTTCCGACCGGCATGCCACGGACATGACAACCATAGTTTATGTACAAAAAGTTTAGGAGAGACTCTCAAGACTAAGGATCGATATGTGGTAGATGAACATTTTTTAATTTGATTATTAGTTTGTGTTTGTGCCTAGTAAATACTAGGCGGTTTGTGAAGCTTGAGCGAGGCGTCTGTTCTTGGACTAAGGGGGGCGCTCCAGATACTCTGCAAAACAAGGGTCCAGGGCAGTCGCCCGGGACACTCTCCGAAGCTTAAGTTAGAGAGAGAATGGGGAGTAGGGAGATTTATGTAGAGAGATGAGTAGTAGTTGAGTTTACCATAAATGAGCTTACTCTGTATTTATACCTGGTTCGAAGGTAGCTGGGGCATTAAATGTCTTGTCGGGCGCCCTGGGCTGTGTCAGGCGCCCCGATCATGCTTTTTACCTTTCTGCAGGCCGCCTGAGGCCTGCAATAAATGCTCAGTCTTGCCTGACACCTGATACGCATCTTCAACGGCTCCCTGCTCTTCTGCGTTGCTCAGTCGCTTTATGTCAGGCGCCCTTATCCGTTTTTCGGGTTTGCGGCCGGTCAAAGACCGCCCGCTGACCCGGTCTTCTGATCGGGCCTGGTTTTCCTATTGAGCCTTAACTGCGGATGCGCCCTTCTTTGGCCAGAAGCCCAATTACGCTTAACTATGCGGCCCAACAGTTTGCACATTGAAGCACAAAGATTTAGGTTTAAGTTTGATGTTATTGGCGATTAATATTTACCTTTCCACCAGATTAGTTTCCCATGACGCCCAACTTTTTATTTGGATCCAAATAGACTCATTTGGACTCGATCAAATTGGTCAAACTATTACCAATTCTGAATATTACTAAGAATTACAGTTGAAGTTGCAAATAAATTGTGAATTTAGAAGGTAACATGTAATGGTAAATAATTCAGCTTTGGTGGGGGGAATTTGCCAATTTGGAGCTGGTTCAAGAATCCTTTCTTTATAATCCCAACGACGGTCCATAAGCCTAAACCACTCAACCTCCTCAACTCTCCCTCACAAAAAAAAAAAAAAATACCACCATTTAATTCTTTTTTTCATTTCAAGAATATAATAATTATGTTTACCGTTTTAACCCGTAACCAAAACGGCTTCCTCCAAGAAACTCTCCCTCATTTCCCAATGAAACTTCTGGTCACCACCTCCTCCACCGCTCTCCCTCTATATAATTCCTCCTCCTCCGCCTCCCCTCTTCTCCTCCACTCCAAATCCGACCACCACCACCACCACTCGAATCTCTCCATGGCGACTTGCGTCGACAATTGCGCCACCACGGCCTGCCGCGACGGCAACAACAACAACAGGTACCCCTGTTTCTACAAACCCAACAAGTCCTTCGCCAGAAATTTCCAGACCCAGACCCAATCCCCAACTCTCAATCGAATCGACGGCGCGGCGGCGGCCGCGGCCGCGTCCGATCTCTGGGCGAAGATGCGAGAAGAAGCGATCCTCGACGCGGAGCAGGAGCCGATCCTCTCCTGCTACTACTACACCTCGATTCTCTCCCACAAATCGCTGGAAAGCGCGCTGGCGAATCACCTCGCCGTGAAATTGAGCAATTCCAGCCTCCCGATCGGAACCCTATTCGACGTCTTCTTCGCGGTGCTGGGGGAGCAGGGCCCGGACTTGGGCCGGGCCGTGAGGGCGGACCTGCGGGCCGTCAAAGAGCGGGACCCGGCCTGCATTAGTTACGTCCACTGCTTCCTGGGCTTCAAGGGGTTTCTCGCGATCCAGGCCCACAGAGTGGCCCACGAGCTCTGGCGGCGGCAGAGGAAGGCCCTGGCGCTGGTGATTCAAAACAGGGTTTCGGAGGTTTTCGGGGTGGACATCCACCCGGGCGCCCGGGTCGGGTCGGGCGTGCTGCTCGACCACGCCACCGGGGTGGTGATGGGCGAGACGGCGGAGGTCGGCGACGACGTGTCGATTTTGCACGGCGTGACGCTGGGAGGGACCGGGAAGGCGGGCGGGGACCGGCACCCGAAGATCGGCGACGGGGTTTTGATCGGGGCCGGGACGTGCGTGTTGGGGAACGTTCGGGTCGGGGCGGGGGCGAAGATCGGGGCGGGTTCGGTGGTTCTGAAGGAGGTTCCGGCGAGGACGACGGCGGTGGGTAATCCGGCGAGGTTGATCGGCGGGAAGGAGAACCCGACGAAATTGGATAGAATGCCTAGCTTTACCATGGACCAGACTTCCCATATAGCCGAATGGTCCGATTATGTGATTTAGGATTGAAAAGTTTTGATCTTTTTCGGGGGGGTTTTTCCCTGGTAGTGATCAGAACCGAAGTTCTCACCGCCATGAGAGGAGCATCGTGTTCTTTGTCTTGATCCTTTTTGGGTACAATAATTGATAAGAGGTAAAAATGTGTGGCCTTTGTTTGGTTGCTGAATGATACTACACTACTGTAGTAATAGACAGAGACATGATATTCGAGTTTGAGGCATTCCTGTGGTTGTAATTTGGAGACAAATGTTTCTGGTTCTGGTGCAACTCAAAAGATTGGGGACTTCCCTTTTGAAGGAATCGAGCCTTGTGACCTTCTACTAGAGACTGGAGGGTTAGTGTACTCATAGTTTGTGACAACTTAAGTAGAGGACCACTAAAGGAACACATTCCTTCTTACCATCCAACGTTAACATTCTTCGTCGATTCTTCTGAAATTGGTTGTATTTCGCAGTTCATTTACTGATGTGACATTCCAGTAAACAGGATATTGATGTGGTATCTCAATATATCGTGCTAAAACGTATTTATATGAGTGTTCATTGTGTAAAAAGAAAACGAGAACATATGATACACAAATATTATTCTAACTATTTCACATCTTAACTTTGAGAATGAAAAGCCTAATGCTTGGTGTAGGGAATTGGGATCACTTTAAGGTTATGTTTCTTCCTTACCGCAAATCCATATAATTCAGTCATGTCCAAATTCTCAATCTTGACATCACTCGGAAGTTCCCAATCAAAATGGTACAGAAAATTGGCCAATGAGAGCTCAATATTCGCCATAGAAAACGCGATCCCTGGACATATCCTTCTCCCAGAACCAAACGGTAGGAACTCGAAGTTCGATCCTTTAAAATCAATTGGATTATCAACGAACCTTTCTGGACGAAATTCCTCCGGATCATTCCAGTATTTTGGATCCCTAGAGATTGCCCAAATGTTGACAATCGCCTTCTCTTTTGCCTTTACTTGAAACCCATCGATCTCACAATCCTCACCACATTCCCTAGGAATCAGTAGTGGTCCGGGAGGATGTAGTCTTAGCGTCTCTTTGATAACTGATTGGAGATAATACAACTCATGAAGCTGTGTAACGTCAACATCTCCTTTCAATTTAAAAACGCGTCTCACTTCGCTTTGTGCCTGTAATAGGATCCTTGGATTCTTAATCATTTCCGACATTGCCCAGTCCATAATAATGGCCGAAGTATCACTCCCCGCTATGAACACATCCTGAAGGCAACACGAGACAGATCAAAACATTACAAATTTGCAATAGAGGAAAAGTTCACTTCAGTTGTATGAGAGATATTGAGAAAAGAAAAGCAGAGGAGAATGCAATTTCCATTTACTAGAATGACTGCTTTGATGTTGTCATCTGAAAGAGGAACCTCGAGCCCGCCACCAGCCTGAAGCTTCAAAAGCACATCGACCAAATCATCCACCTCGTCGGAACCCTGATCAGCAGTGCTCTGCCTCTCACGGTGGTCGGAGATTATGCCGTCCATCATCCGATCAGCTTCATTCCTCAACCTGAGAAGCTGGGATCTCATCCCACTCATTACCTGAAGCAATTTCACCGACGGAAACAAGTCCGCCAGGCTAAACCCACCTGAAATCCGCGCCATTTCCTCCATCACGGGGACGAATTCGTCGTGCCCTCTGTATTTCTTCCCGAAAGCGACCCGGGAAACGATGCCGGCGGTGAGGGAGAACACCATCTGGCTGAAATTGAATTCCTGCCCAGCCGAAACAGAGACTCCGCCCATGGAATTGGATATCTCTTCGGACCGGATCGAACCGAAGGATTGGACCCGGTTCGGGTTGAGGAGCTCGAGGGCGCAGATCTTGCGGAGCTGGCGCCAGTAGGCGCCGTAGGGGGAGAAGATGATGTCGGTGAAGTCGTAGGTTAAGATCTGGGCGGCGAGGCTGAAGGGTCGGTTGGCTAAAACGACGTCGTGCGTCTTGAGAATTTGTTCTGCGGATTCCGCGGAGGAGATGACGACGAAGGGGATTTGGCCCAGCTGGAGGCCCATTACGGCGCCGTATTGGTTGGCGAGGTCGCGGAACCGGCGGTGCGGGAGGGAGCTGCCGGCGAGCTGGTGGAGGTTTCCGATGATGGGCAGTTTTCTGGGATGCGGCGGGGCTGCTGGTGGTTTTGGTGTGTTTCGACGCATTTTGAGGAGGAAGAATACGAGCAAGAGGAGACAGCCCAAAATTGCCGGGGCTTGGAATTGGGAGGACGACTCCATTTGTTGCCTGAAGGGGCAGTGGGCACCACTTGCAGGGTTGTAAGCTCGTATTAAATGCTCTCACGATTAGCCCGGTATTTATAGGGGTAGGGATTTGTCGTCTTCTAAGGTTGTCAACCCGCGGGTTGATCCGGACCTGGTTGAGCTAGTGGGTCAAGGATTAATGCGTCAACCGTTTTAGTTTGGTTTGGCCCGGAAATATGGAAAAAATCATTATATTGTACTTATCCTCATAAATTATATCAAATCTTATCTAACATATGAGTTATAACATATAATATTTCACCAAAATAACATATCGTATATAGATACAACATATAGTGAAAATTCACACACACTTATATAACATAAATATTCAAATGTTCAACTTAGCATTCCAAAAATTGAGCTAGGTGAAAAGAAAAATTGAAAAATAGGCGCATTTCGCAAACCAAAGAAAAAAATGACACAATTTGACCTCCAACTCGGGACCTTGTAGCGATCGGCCCGACAGGTGCGTGCGGCCCGTTTTTCTCACCGGATCAGGATCAAAGTGGGTCGACCCGCGGGTCAACCCGCGGATTTACAACCTTGTGACTTCTCCATAACGGATTTCACCTCGTATAAAAAAAAAGACATTGAGCTGGAGAAACTGGTTTCGTCATCTAGCTCGAACAGGATCCATATGCTAAAGATGCTGCTTGCTACCAATGAATCTAAGTGAATAAGTTAAGAATAATTCAAACCTAGTCCAAAGACATCGAGCTGGTATTTAGTGGCCCGTGCATGACATAATTAAGTGGGGAATCGAATAGGTGATAAGTTCGTAAATGATTGTTTAGTTTGATATATTGAAAAAGATTGTTTAGCATTTTTCATAATATGATAACACCTCGTAGACTTTTGTTGTAACTTCTTCTAGTCAGACATTTTTTTCATTTAAAATTTTATTTTCTAATTTTTAAAAGATTTTGTCTGATAAATTACATTTACCTTATGAATTACCCTAACATTAATTAGCAGACAAAGTTCATCATCACACCGATAATTTTCAAAAGATTTTAGTAAAAAAAAAACACCAATAATCAATCAATCAGGTTGGGGTTAGGGTGGTAATACCCAATTAGTAAACATGGTGCATGCTACCATTAATCTCAACCAATAAGAAGATTTCATTTTGCTGACTTTATATAATGACGGGATTGGTTATAATTTAATGCTTATTTTGAAAGGAGAGATACCAATGTTATGTTTATAAATTATTTTGAAAGCCCAGTTCCGCCGCTACTTTAATGCCTGTTCAGCCTCAGCCCAGTCCATCATTCACACAGGCCTGCACAGGTTCACTTTAAAACCCAACTTTATTCGGCCCGCGATTTCTTAATCTTATAACTATGATGTATCGTTTTTTTCTTCTTCCCCCGCTTCTTTTTGAAACGTATCTGTAATTGTTTGTTCTTTTTTCCCCCTTATAGAAAAATAGTCCATATAGGCCATCCAATACTTATTATTAGTAATTTAATGAGTTTGATTAATAAATAAAATATCGGAAAGCTTTGACTAATAAAATTTACAAAACATGTATATTTTCGATTATAACATCAAATAGAGTTGACGCAAAAATATAACCGTTGTCAATTCAGCAACCCTACATCTATCGGAACATAACACAGTCACTATTTTCAGCAACCCAAAATTAATTTTTTTAATGTAATTATATATAGAGATATTCTTCGTGGGGAGGGTATGGATATGGAACATCAAAGTCTAAAATCATACCTATACATCTCGATAAAATTTTTTATAACAAATATTTTAATCACACCCGTTCCGTATCAAATCAACAAGATTATAGTTCAACAACCCTTAAAAAAACGTATTATATATTGTCTTCATTATATGCAATTATTTGTTCTTCTCTTGTCTTTTATACCGAAATGAAAAAAAAATTCCTGGTAAAATGTGGTCAACAGTCATGGTGACGGTCAAGTTCACACAACATTTTCTACAACGACTAGAAAATGAAGGTCCCGTAGTTTTAGAATTTTGATAATATGTACGGCAGCAGGCAAAAACACACCGAGACCAAGTCATTAGAGCCAATATAGAATCAATACTTTGCTATTATAGAAACTTCATCAATTTTAACAACCAAGATCGCTATTTTAGCTATATGTTCAACTAGCCTTACTAATACGTTTGAGCTGCCGGCCCAGTTTCTGTACCATTCTGGATTGGGAGCTAGCCGGTGGGATCAATGAGACAACACATGATATGTGGAGAGATCCCTGATTTCAACCTACAAAAAGTGTTACAACATTGTTACAGTTTTTGTGGACCGAATAAGAGATATAAATAATAACATATTAGAGATTCACTCTTCATATCATAAAAGAAAGGGGAAAAAATCCAACTCAATTAGTATAAAGTATGTGTGTACATATCGGGATTTAATTGATATATTTACGAAGATCACATATCGATTCAAATGAACTTTTGTCCAAACATGAGAGTATAAATATTTTTTTTTTACTCCTTTTCTCTTTTAGATGTAAACGAATAGAGCTGCAACACTTGTCGTGTGTTAACTACACAAGGCCTTTTAGAGTCCTCCGGTTTCGTCTAGGGATGGCAAAAATATCCATAACCGTGGATAGCCGTCCGAATCCGACCTAATTGGGTAGAGTAAAATCCGAACCCGAAGGAGTTTTAGTGGGTACGGCGTACGAGTAAAACCTAAACCCGAATATTGCGGGTAATTGGTGGACATGGTTTTTCTCAATATCCAACCCGAACCCGCCCGATTATACACGTGCATATATATCTTGTCTAGAAATAATCAATATTTTTCTCTAACATATTTCATGTTTAGCATATAAATATAACATTTTTATTATTGTGTTGTTTTAATAAATTTTCTTCATTCTAGTGAATTATTGTCGTACTTTTCATCTTACATAATGTGAGAATACGTGTGAATATTAATATATTGGTTGAAATTATAAAGAGAAACTATTACCCATGCATAACCGTGGATACCGGAAACCCGAACAGGTATAGACATGATTTGAATTTTCTACCTGTTTCTTATGTGGGTATGGTTATGAATAAAACCCGAACTACAATGAGTAGGGTAACAAATATGTACTATCCGTCCCAACCCGAACCCATTGCCTTTGCCATCCCTACTTTCGTCCTGTACTTCAGGTTTTGGCAGTATATATATCATGCCGCGTCGTTGCAAAAAGAAATCACAGAAGCTTTCACCAAAACTCGTCTTTTTCTCCAATATATTCTCACTAATCTCCTCCTCACCGGCCGGCGGCTAATCCAAGTTGCCAGCCGGCACACATGGAGCTCCTTCTTCAACAACTCCCAACCATCATCATCATCATCACAACACTACTACTACTCGCCATCTCCATCTTCTTCGCGAAATCTCGACCGTCCACCACCCACAACCGCAACACCACTCCACCGCTCCCTCCCTCGCCGCCGACGAAGCTGCCGCTGATCGGCCACATGCACCACCTCGCCACCGGCAACTCATCCCTGCTGCCGCACCGGGCCCTCAGGGACCTGGCCCACAAACACGGGCCCGCGATCATGCACCTCCAGCTGGGCCAGGTCCAGACCATCGTCGTCTCCTCGGCCCATATCGCCGAGGCCTTCCTGAAAACCCACGACGTCAACTTCGCCCAGCGGCCGCCCGCCCACTCCGCCGACATCCTCGCCTACGGCTGCACCGACATCGTTTTCGCCCCCTACGGCGACTACTGGCGCCAGCTCCGCAAGATCTGCACCGTCGAGCTCTTCAGCGCCAAGATGATCAGGTCCCGTACAAAATCGCGCTTTAAAATTTAAAACCTCACCCTTTTACACTTTGAGATCACCAAAATATTTCTATCGTAGAAATCACACTTTCCCTTATAAGTGCACTCAAAATTTACACGTTAAAAGTTTAAAAAAGCTTACGTTTTCTGCACTTTTTGATTCGTAAAATTCAAAAGTTTCCGTTTCTACACTTCAAGATAATCAAAAGAAAACCATTTTTTTTACATAATTTCATGGTTTTTTACATTATACGAAGTCAAAATTTACGCTTTTAAAATTGAGAAGCTCGTATTTTTATACTTCTAGACCAGCACAACATTTTTACATAGAAATCGCGATTTTGACTGCATTGAATTCAGGTCGTTCGGATCCATCAGGTCGGACGAGGTCTCGAACCTCGTCACCGCCGTATCGTCGGCGGCGGCGTCGGGCGGCTCCGGCTCCGGGGTTGACTTGAGCGCCATGTTCTGTAAGTTGACTTACGGCGTCCTCTCCCGGGCCGCGTTCGGCGAGGCGACCGGAGAAGGAAGGGAGGCTTTCCTGCCGCTGATCGACGAGATCACGAGGGTGGCGACGGGGTTCAACGTGGCGGATTTCTTCCCTTCGTTTAAGTTTCTTCAGGTTGTCACGGGTGTGGCCGCGAAGTTGAGCGTGCTTCATCGGAAGGCCGACGAGGTGCTTGAATCCATCATCGCCGGCCATGGAGAACGGAAGAAGGGAAGTAAGAGGCCGAGTGAAGAAGGAGAAGGAGAAGGAGAAGAAGAAGTGCTTTTGGATGTGCTTCTGAAGCATCGGCAGGGGGAAGAAGATGATTTGGGCTTCTCATTGACAACCGACAATATCAAGGCGGTCCTCGTGGTAAATTATTAATCAACAATCAACACCTTCTTAATCATCTTGCTTTACCTTTGGATCATCACTTAAAACATATATTAGTTTACACCAACATGACCCACATCTAAATTCACTATTCAAACGACCCAATAGTATTTTCTTATCGTGCTAACACTAATAGAAGAAAAGTGAAAAAGAGATACAGATAGGAAAATTGATAAATCGACTAAAATTATTAGTAGTCTATTGTCTCGTTCCCTCGTTGTTAATTGATTTTTAATTAATTAATTAGCTTGATGCAACAACGAGGTTAACCACGCTAATCACGATTTGCATTAATCTAATATTAATCACAGGACCTATTCTTTGCTGGCACTGAGACAACGGCTACAAGTCTAGAATGGGCCATGTCGGAACTAGTGAAGAACCCACGAGTGATGCAAAAAGCCCAATCCGAAGTAAGGCGGGCCTTTGGGCCCAAAGGAAATAAGGTCGACGAATCAAGGCTCCAAGAGCTCGTATACCTAAAAATGGTGATCCGAGAGAGCATGAGGCTCCACCCTCCGGTTGCCGTGCTGCTGCCGAGGACGGGAGCCGAAGACTGCGAGATCGGCGGCTACCACATACCGGCCCGTTCCAGCGTCATGGTGAACGCCTGGGCGATCGGGAGAGATCCCGAGTACTGGGCGGATCCCGAGACGTTCTGGCCCGAGAGGTTCCTCGATAGCTCGGTCGATTATAGGGGGCTTCATTTCCAGCTGATACCGTTCGGGGCTGGAAGGAGGATCTGCCCTGGAATGTCGTTCGCTCTAGCCAATATCGAGCTTCCGTTGGCGTGGTTGCTGTATCGTTTCGACTGGAAGCTGCCAGATGGGCTGGAGCCTGAATGCCTCGACATGACTGAGGCGTTTGGGGCGGCCGTCAAGAGGAAAAACGGTCTTTTTTTGGTTCCTAATTTTGTAGCTTAATTCATCGAGCGAAATAGTAATGAAATTGCTTGTCTGAAAAAGTGGTAGTAGTTTTCTCGATGTTGTGCATGTATATGGTCTAAATGTTTCTTGGAAAATCTTGAAAGGAAAAACTTGAAATATGTACACATGAGTGTAACTCTTGGAAGTGTACATGTTTTAAGTAAAAGTAACAAAGAAGAGCATATAGTGGCGGCTCGTGATTGAATACTCAATCAACATCAAATAGGCTAAGTGAGACTAATTTCAATAGCAAAATTAACACGGAGTTGAAAGTAGAAGCTTAATTAGAAATTATAATATATAGAAAAAATTAGGAGGAAAAAAAAATATCATCATACAACTCAACAACATCTATTATTACTGAAACCAAAATCGTGGTAGAGCAATAAAATAATTTACATGGTTAGAAAACTAATGATCTACATTTTCCGTCATTTTGACGATTAGGCTAGTAAAATCTTATTGTTGACCAATAGTGGTGCATATATGCCAAAATTGAAACTACGGTGTTTACTTGGTATGTCGCATCCGAAAATGATTTGATATACATAGCGATTCAAATAATATTCATTATTTGGATTTAAAATTATCTGGAGAAGGAAATGTGATATTCAACCTAGCTGATATATTCACGAAGCAACTGAGCACACATCGATCCATATATGAACTTTGTTCAAGCTGAAAGAGTATACGACATATACTCGTCGGGGCTGTCAAACTCTAAGGACGGAGCATAAAAAAATGAAGGAATAAGAAGTTGAGTGTCAGCCCCAGCTGTGACAACGATTACTAGCTGAACAAAGAAATAAGAATTTTTCCTTCGAGAATACTAGTGTTGCACTATCAAATTCCCATAATACAACACTTTCCATCAAAATTTCCCAAACTACTGGAGTTTGATACGACTCGTTGGTGTGAAAAGCGAACGGGTATATTTTATCACCAACGTCAAAGGTATATCATATTCATCACCGGTTACAGTGGATCGCTCCATTAACCAAATACACGTACATATTTAATACGTAACTTATCTACAACTTATTTTATCGACCATGTTTGGGGCACTTAGCTAGGTAGCGGTCTCCATCATCAAATGCTCAATTCCCCCACTAAATTCATGTATATTTGGTCCACACAGAAGATTGGACGTCAAAACGAGGGTGTTAAGGGGTCTGTTGTTTAACTTATCTTAATGTGAATCTATGCATCGCTGGTAATTGCAGCGATCACCAGTTCCCAGCCAGCCATCTCTAGTCAGTGGAGCGATCTCCACTAGATTGCTTTTGTGTCCGACAATGAATATAAATCGTCCTTGACTTTGATGATAAAATATGTTCTATTCACTTTTGACACCAACAAATTGCACCAAAATTCTAGTAATTTGGAAAATTTTGGTAATTTGGAAAATTTTGGTAAAAGTACTGTGTTACGCCGAATTTGATAATGAAATTATGGAAAAATATCCAAGAAAGAATGCGCAATTTCAAACATAAAGAAAACAACTTGGAGTGGAAAGACCGAATGCGAGAACAGAAAGAAGATGGTAAATGCTACGTTTGGTTACTAGGTTTACTAAATCGTGTCATGTTTAGTTACTAGAAAAATTTAATATCAATTTTGGTCACTCGAATTACTCACGTTTAGTCACTCTCTCGTTAGTTTTCGTCCAACTCCATTAATGTAGCGGGACGGAAACTAACGGAGAGTGACTAAATGTGACATGTTTCAGTAATTCGAGTGACTAAATGTGACATGTTTCAATAATTCGAGTGACCGGAGTTGGACAGAGGCTACAAATGAGTGACCAAATGTGACATGTTTCAGTAATTTGAGTGACAAAAATTGATAGTAAATTTTTCTAGTGTCTAAACATGACACGATTTAGTAATCTCAATGACCAAACGTGGGATTTAGCCGAGAGAAAGATGAAAACATTTTCCCTTTTTTATTATTTTCAACGCCATTAGAGACCCGTTGTTCTGTAGTTCGGATTTTTGCCGTATATATATTCTGCAGCTTTGCTGCTGCAAAATAAATCATAAAAGATTTCACCAAAAACTCGGTGCTAAATCAAGCTGCTAAATAACCAACAACATAATGGAGCTTCTTCATCAACTCTTCACCGTCGTCGTCGTCGTCACCATCACCACATCCCTCTTCATCTTCTTCTCGAGATCTCGACCACTGGCCGCCAACCGCAACAAGCTAAAAAAAACCACTCCACCACTCCCTCCGTCGCCGCCGACGAAGCTGCCGCTGATCGGCCACATGCACCACCTCGCCACCGGCGGCAACAACGCCCTCCTACACCAAGCCCTCCGAGACCTGGCCCACAAACACGGGCCCGCGATCATGCACCTCCAGCTGGGCCAAGTCCAGACCATCGTCGTCTCCTCGGCCCAAATCGCCGAGGCCTTCCTGAAAACACACGACGTCAACTTCGCCCAGCGGCCTCCGGCGCAGTACGCCGCCGAAGCCCTCGCCTACGGGTCCACCGACATCGTGTTCGCCCCCTACGGCGACTACTGGCGCCAGCTCCGCAAGATCTGCACCGTCGAGCTCTTCAGCGCCAGGATGATCAGGTCTAGTGAAATTCGCTTTTTAAAATTTAAAAGTCTACATTTTTATACTTCTAGATCGTAAAAACGTTTTTAGTAGAGATGACCAAAGTATCTATAACTGTGGATATTCGCTCGAATTCATCCTAATTGGGTAGGGTAAAACTCGAATTCGAAAGACTTTTAGTGGCTATGGGTAAATTCGAACCCAAATATTGCGGGTAATGGATGGGAATGGTTTTCTCACTATCCAACCCGAACCCGCCCGATTATACACATAATATGTATTTTGTCTATAAATAATCATTATTTTTCTCTAACGTATTTTATATTTAGCATAAAAATATACTATTTTCATGAAATTGTGTTATTTTAATTATTTTGTTTTCATTCTAGTGAATTGTTGGCGTACTTTTCCTCTTGTTTAATGTGAGAATATCAGAATACGTGTGAATGTTAACATATTGGTTTAAATTATCTAGAGAAATTATTACTCATGGATAACCGTGGATCCCCGAAACCTGAACCAGCATGGACATGGTTTTGATTTTTTACCCATTTCTTATGTGGGTACGAGTATGTGTGAACCCCGAACTACTTTGAGTAGGGTAATAGATATGCACTATCGGCCCCGACCTGACTCGTTTGCTATCACTAATTTTTAGGTAAAATCACGCATTTCTATAAGTGTAATCAAAATTTACGGTTTAACTCTTAAACGCTAACTTTTTTACATAGACTGCGCTTTTGACTGCATTGGTCAGGTCGTTCGGTTCCATAAGAGAGGACGAGACATCGAAGCTTGCCGCCGCCATATCGGCGGCAGCGTCGTCGGGCTCCGGGGTTGACTTGAGCGCCATGTTCTGCAAGATGACCTACGGCGTCCTCTCCCGGGCGGCGTTCGGGGAGGCGATGACCGGCGAAGGGAGGGAGGCGTTCTTGCCGCTGGTCGGCGAGATCACGAGGGTGGCGACGGGGTTCAACGTGGCGGATTTCTTCCCTTCGTTCAAGCTTCTTCAGGTTGTGACGGGCGTGGCCTCGCGGATGAGCGCGCTTCGCCGGAACGCCGACGAGGTGCTTGACTCCATCATCGCCGGCCATCGGAAGAGCGGCGGAGAAGAGGGAGAGGACGAGGATCTCTTGAGTGTGCTTCTGAAGCATCGGCGGGGGGAAGAGAATCTCGGATTCTCCTTGACAACCGATAATATCAAGGCGGTGCTCGTGGTAATTAATTATTAATCACACCATCATCATCGTCTTAATCATCTTGCTTAATTACCTTTTGATCATCACTTAAAACAAATTAATTAATCTTAGGACCTATTCTTTGCTGGCACCGAGACGACGGCCACGAGTCTAGAATGGGCCATGTCGGAGCTAGTGAAGAACCCACGCGTGATGCAAAAAGCCCAATCCGAAGTAAGGCGGGCCTTCGGGCCCAACGGAAAGGTCGACGAGGCAAGGCTTTCCGAGCTAGTATACCTAAAAATGGTGATACGAGAGACCATGAGACTACACCCTCCGGCACCCATGCTGCTCCCGAGGACCGGTGCCGAAGACTGCGAGATCGGCGGCTACCGCGTACCGGCCGGTTACAGCGTCATTGTGAACGCGTGGGCGATCGGGAGGGATCCCGAGTACTGGGCGGATCCCGAGACGTTCTGGCCCGAGAGGTTTCTCGACGGCTCGGTCGATTATAAAGGGATTCATTTTCAGCTGATACCGTTCGGTGCGGGGAGGAGGATCTGTCCCGGAATGTCGTTCGCTTTGGCGAACATCGAGCTTCCGTTGGCGTGGTTGATCTATCGTTTCGACTGGAAACTTCCGTATGACCGGAAACCCGAGTGCCTCGACATGACCGAGGCATTTGGTGCGGCCATCAAGAGGAAAAACAGGCTTTTCTTGGTTCCTTGTGTCGCTTAATCCAACAAAAAATTGACGGGATCATTGCTTGTATGAAAAGTCGTAGTAGTATTTTGGATGTGCCTTTATATGGTATAAATGTTACTTGAGAAATTTTAGAAGAAAAAAAAAATAAAAGGTTCATAATAGTATAAGTTTGTAATGTATCGTACTAAAAGTCTGTAATGTATACTACTAAAAAGTTTGTAATGCATACTATATATATTGTAACGGTTGAGTGTTATGTTGATTGTCATGGTGCCTTTTTTTTTCTTTCTTAAATAGGGTTGATGTCTTAATATAGTAGGATATTTGGGTAAGAATAATTAGGTTTGTGCGCTTTTATGCGAATGAAGGCAAAAATGTACATCTTCTGCAATACTTCAGGTGAATCCCACATCGACATCTAATAAGTAAAGTGAGACTGATTTTAGTAGCAAACTGACATGGAATTGAAAAAGAAGCTTAATTAGAAAGTATAAAACATAGTGGAGGCTATTAAGAGAATCCCAATTGGGACAAGTACTTGATGATGAGTGAGTTTAGCACTTTGAGAGATTGTGGTAGTTCTCGGTGAAATCAGCTTATCATATTTTTAGGGAGTTAGAAAGAAATCGATTTGGGACTCCAAACATGAATGGTCCTAACTGCACTTCAAAAGTTTGGAAATGGCTATGGAGTCTCTCTTTGCCTCCAAAGATCTTGTCCTTCGTATGGAGGATATCGAGGAATGTGTTGTTACGAAGAGGAATTATCCTTCATAGAAATCTTTTTCCTTCTCCGCTTTGCATTGTCTTTGAGGTGTGCATGGAGGATGTGTGGAACTGCCTCTTCTAGTGTCCCCATGCTGCAAGAGTTTGGCAGATCCTTCAACCTTCTCTCTCTACCCATTGGCGGAGCTAGATTAAGGGTTGTGGGGTCCATAGACCCCACTTGGAAAATAATATACATTAAAAATGATGGATTTTTAAGGTAGGGTTAGTAAATTTAGAACCATGAACCCCCTATTTTCGAGACAATGATTTTACTATCGAGTCAAACTTCGTATTTGGTTATGTTTGGACCCCACTAAATTATAGCTCTGTCTACGCCAATGTCTCTACCCAAAGACTTCATACCTATTTTTGTGTGGTTGCTTTCTATCTATGAAGGTACCCCTGCTGTCTCTATCTCAGCTATCGCGGCTTGCCTTTGGGCTATCTGGATTGTCTGGAACGAGAGTTTTCAAAGGTGTCATCACCCATCCTGCATTGACCTCAACAAATGCAGTTAGAGATTTCTCATTTTGGACGACTCCCCTCCAGCTTCCGACTTTTCTCGGTGTCCAAGCCCAACATCTATCAAACGGTAACACACTTCGCCTACCGTCTAGTTCTTCCTAGTGAGAAAATCATTGTGATGAATAGTTTAGATCGGAATCACAGGTGGCGGCATATGGGGTCATCACTAAGATCTAGGAGATGGATGGAACTTTTCTTTTAGGTATGCATGTTGTCGAATTTCCATAAACTGATAGATAAACAACGTCGAAGGCTTCAACACAATGTACATAATATTCGTTATATGTTCATTCATCTGAGTTTTCCTGATTGAAAAATGGAGCTGGACTATGATTTGATAAATTGCATTTATTGTGCGACGTACTCTGTAAGACCTCTTACACAGCACCGTGAGGAATCGGAACGGCGACGAGGCCCTGCTTCCGGCAAACCGCCAGCCCAAACGACTCCTTCATATCCAAACCCTCCATCCCCTCCGACAGCTTCCCGTCGAAATGAAACAACAGCTTGGCCGGCGATAGCTCGACAACCCAACCCAAGTGTATCACCAATAACTTATTTTCCAAATCCAAAAATTATGTCAAACCTTCATATTTGAAATCTAATACGTATGTCATCGTTCGTTTCTAGCATAATCAACAATCATCACATCATTGCTAATAAAACATGTTATCAAATTTCAGCATTTGTGAAATTGTATCGTGTTTTATTATCAAAACTTCAGCATTTGTGAAACCGTATCATATCGGTGATCTGACAAGAAAAACCTCTTATAAGAGGTCTTGTTATAAACCAGTTGGTCCCAATAACTCGAGTTGTTGGAAAAAAGTTATGTTGTATGATCTTATACAACTCTATAGCATGCCCCCTCAAACGAAAGTCAACTCATGGGCTTGAAGTTTACACAGGCGATCACCACATCTTATACTTTAATCAACTCTTAATATTTGAGAATCGTAGAAATTCGAACACACAACTCACAATTTCACCACCAAATACACTATATCTATCATTTTCATCACAAACCTCCAATACAATTTCACAATCCTGGTCCTTGTGATTCCTCCCTCATTGTACAAACCCAGCACTCCACCGATCTTCTTTGCTTTCCATAACACGATTCTCCATATTTGGGAAAAGAAACGAGCGGATCAAAGAACCATCTTATCATCTACTTTGCCACTTGTTCCTCTGCGATTCGCGATTCCCAGATTTCCTTGTCCTGGAGACGACGATGAAATTCACGCACACAACTTCCAAAAACTCCACTGCTCCTTCCACCGACCGATCAGTGAACCCAAAAAAAAAATGGAGCTTTCTCTCGAACCCACTTCCCTTCTCGTCCTCCTCTTCCTAGCCTTCATCACAATTTCCTACACCTTAACCAACGTCATAAAAAACCGATCATCGACCACCGGCGGCGGCAGGGTACCTCCGGGGCCACGGAAGCTGCCGCTGATCGGAAACCTCCACCAGCTGAAATCGCCGCCGCACCGCTCGCTGGCCCAACTATCGGCCCAACACGGCCCAATCATGCGGCTCCAGCTGGGCCAGCTCACCACCACCGTCATCTCCTCCCCTGCTTTCGCCAGAGAGGTCTTCACCACCCACGACGTCACCTTCGCCAACCGCCCCGTCACCGCCGGCAACCGGATCCTCTCCTACGGCCTCCTCGACATCGGGTTCGCCCCCTACGGCGGATACTGGCGCCACCTGCGGAAGATCTGCAAGTCCGACCTCCTCAGCGCCAGTCGGGTCGGGTCGTTCCGCCGGATCCGGGAGGAGGCGGCGGCGGATCTGGTCGCCGGAATCGCCGCCGAATCGCGGGAGGGGGGTGGCGGTGGTGCTGTGAATCTGAGCAAGAGGATGGTGGAGATGACGTACGGGATCGCGCTGAGCGCCGCGTTTGGGAGGAGATGCAGGGGAGAAGAAACAGGGGAAGCCTATGTGTCGATTGTGTTCGGGATTGTGAAGATGATGACGGGTTTCACGCTGGTGAACCTTTTCCCTTCTGTGAAGTTGCTGGAATTGGTGACTGGGATGAAACCCAAGCTGATTAAGCTGCACAATGAGAAGGATCGGATCGTTCAGGGTATTTTGGATGAGCATAAACAGAGGAGAAGGAACAGAGTTGTCAATGGAGATGATGATGAAGAAGATGAAGAAGATCTGACTGATGTGCTGCTAAAATATCAGCAGCCTGGCGACTCTGACTTCCCCTTGACCGATGATTCCATCAAAGCAAACCTCTGGGTAATACTTATGATTGTTCTGATGTAGTTGCATCTTATTCGCTGTGACTTGAAAACAGATTATTCGTCGCGATCGGAGAATGTGCTCTATATACTTTTTTAATATTGGTTAATATGTATATAGTCAAGAATAGTGAAACTGATTTATTTTATCCGTAGATTAACTAACACGCATAATATTGGTGTTATATATATATATATTTTTTAATTTTTACATTGTCGATTTCTCGTTCGGTTACTGTGTGCAGGACATGGTGACGGCAGGGGCAGAGACATCCTCGGCAACAATGGAGTGGGCGATGTCCGAGATGCTCCTAAACCCTCCGGTCATGGCGGAGGCACAATCCGAGGTCCGTCGCGTCTACGACGGGAAATCGACCGTCGACGAGACGCTCCTCCACGAGCTCCACTACTTGAAAGCGGTGATCAAGGAGACGCTGAGGCTGCACCCTCCGTCTCCCCTGCTAATGCCGAGGGAATCGAGCGAGGCCTGCGAGATCAAAGGGTACCACATTCCGGCCAGGACCCGGGTCATAATCAACGCGTGGGCGATCCATAGGGATCCCGAGTCCTGGCCGGACCGACCGGACCGGTTCGTGCCCGAGAGGTTTCTGAGCCGGCCGATGGACTACAAAGGGTCCGAGTTCGAGTTCATTCCGTTCGGTGCCGGGAGGAGGATGTGTCCTGGAGTGATGTTCGCGCAGGCAAACGTCGAGCTGTCGCTCGCGAAGTTGCTGTTTCATTTCGACTGGAAGCTGCCGGAAGGGGTGGAGGAGTTGGATATGAGTGAGTCGTTTGGGCTGGCGGTTTGTAGGAAGCAGGGCCTTGTTGCAGTTCCGGTTCCTCGCGGTGCTGTGTAGGAGGTTTTATAGAGTACTTTGCACAATGTATGACATTAGCTTATCATGTTAAAGCATCGTGGTTGTGAAGTTGCTGTACTGTCTGCCTTCTCTAGCTTTCGTTTTCCTTTTGTTTCCTTGGTTTACACTCTAGAGCAAGGTTGTCAAATCGGTCTATGTCAGTGTGACGGTTTAGCAAGTGGAATGGTTCGATCGGTGATACATACAGGTTTGTGCCGGTTCATGTCTGTTAATATTACAAATAATTTATAAATACTCATATTTAAACATGACATTTTACGTCAATACCTAAATATTTGTCATTGAATCCAACAAATAACATCAACATTTAACTTTTTAAAAACATCACTAAGATAAGATAATTTTACTTAGATATTAGTATATCGATCATGTCGGTCATACCGATAGTGTCATGTCGGGTTTATGACCGATATCGGTTGAACCAGGTTCAACCAATGACACACCGGCTGGCGTGACAACCAAGCTCTAGAGAGATGGATGTTGAATGGATTATAGCCTGTCAGAGCTCCTTTAAATCAAGTTGTCAAATCAGAGGATTGACGATTGTGGTAAGGGTGAAGACGAAATCATTTTCCCTCACTCAGAGCAATGCTCTAATTTACCTGAGTGTTGTTTGCTAATTAGATTTGGATGTTGTATTTGGTCTCCAAATTCAAATACAAATCATCATGTTTTTTTATTCAAAGCCATTGTTTGTTAAGGTAGACAAATTCGTGGGACCCACGGATTTGGACAACTTTTTTACTCCAAATTCGTGGACCCCACGTATTTGTAAATTCCACATTTCATTTGGTGTTTGCAAATACCACAATGTGGAAGTCAAATTTTATAGAACCAAATATCAAATGAACTAAATCCATGATAAAAATTCAACTAAACAACCAATGTTATCTTTCAAATACAAAATGCAACGAATCCATCATAAATCCAAAAGTTTTCAAAACTCAAACCTTCATTTAACTATGTTCGCGGATATTAGCTATATACGAAACGACATCTTAGGACACGTTCTCCTTCCGGCCTCCGAAAGGAATGAACTCAAAATGCTTTGTTCTTTCGAAGTTCAGCGAGTTGTTCAAGAATCTCTTCGGAACAAACCTCTCAAAATTAGTGATAAGGATACATTGATTGCACCACACTATCCAATTAAACACATTCACCTAGAGACTAGTATACAATCAACTCTCATTCATTGTACTTTCTATTCATCATATCACTTATGGTTCACGAGTATTATGAAAATAGGCTCCAAATTCTATCAATGGAAGAAAGTTCTCGATCATTTATAAATCTTTACATACCGGTGGTTTGAAGGAGGAGTAGTGGTGACGATCTTTGTGTTGTTGTTCATGAGTTGATGTGATGATTTAGTGGCCATCTTTGTTGATGAAAAGCAAAAAGACCGCTGAAACTATAGGCAGGGTAATGAGTTCATAATCCGGCTCCATGTTTTCGATCAGGAAAACTCAGATGAATCGAAACCACGTTTAATAAGTATCGACCATTGGTTGATAGTATACCCTTTTTATCGGTCTGATTACTAATTTACTAGAGGAGCTTACTACTAAGTAGGGGTAATTAATCAAAATGGTCAGAAAAGTTTAAAAAGTAACAGAAAAGTTATATACACATCAAGATATAACAAACCAAAAATTTCAACTCTTTTGAGCCATATTTACATCCAAAATAACCAATTAGTTTGCTTGCAAAATGCAAAATTAACAACAAATTATCAATCACTTAACCACCTTGTAAAATTATCTCTTATCCAGAGCAAGCAAAATGATTTTTTTTTTTATGAAAATATAGATGAATAAACATAAAGTTACTGTTTTGTTATATCATGATACTTGTGTGACCTATTTGTTACGATTTAAATATTTGTGATCACTTTGTTACTGGGTAAAAACTATGTGACATGCTGCGACGTACGACATTTCCAACGCAGACGCAAGAAAGCTGACGTGGCAAGATCGCAACCCTCGACGAAACTGGTAAGAGTAAATCGGAAATCTTCAATCCAATCTTCCCTCTTATCCGATTTCCCACACTCCCACCAAATTGACTCCGGCGAAGGGGCTTATATCAGCACAAACCCGCCGGAGCAGACTCGCTCGCCGTGCCCGCCGGTCCTTTCGCATTCCGCCGGTAAACTTAGTCGCTTCGACATAGGAAAATGAACATCCCGTATCTAAACAGGTAAGTAAGCCCCGATTTCCCGCATTTCCCGAACAATTACTCTCCTTCCTCTTTAACTACACCCTGATTTCTTCTCCTTCTCGGCCATAGCAGCGGCGGTCCGTCAGTTGCGTGGAGGAGCTCTTCCATCGTCTCCGTCCAGCTAGGGTTGTGCTTCTCCAACAATTTCAACGGAGTTTTAGTTCCTCCTCCTCCTCCTCCCTCTATACACTACATCTCCCGCCGGAATTTGCGAGTTTCATGCTCCTCCCCATCTTCCTCCACTGGTACATCTCCATTTCCCTTGTTTGTTTGAATCTTCCGACTCTCCCTTCTCGGCTCCGCAATTCCTACAGATAGCATCGCTGTTACCGTCGTTATGTTTTCATTGAACTTAGTATTCATTCAGATCCGCTCTTGGTTAAGGCCGCGAGAGGTGAGGCCGTTGTTCGGCCTCCGGCGTGGATGATGCGGCAAGCGGGAAGGTACATGGCTGTTTACAGAAAGCTAGCCGAGAAATACCCGTCCTTCAGGGAGAGGTCGGAGACAACTGAACTCATTGTGGAAATTTCTTTGCAGCCCTGGGAAGCTTTCCGCCCGGACGGTGTGATTATTTTCTCTGACATACTTACGCCGCTGCCGGCATTTGGTGTGTCTTTTGACATAGAAGACGTGAGGGGTCCTGTTATTCAGTCTCCGATTCGCTCCGAGGAGCATTTGAAGACCTTGCATCCCATTGAACTGGAGAAGCTACAATTCGTCGGGGACTCGCTTAGGTTACTTCGCAACGAGGTAAGCCTAATATGTGTACTAGTATCTAGGAAAATCATCGTCTGAAAAAGAATGTTACTCATTTTCTTTCTGGAACTGATAGATGGAACTACATCGTATGGTTTTTTTGGCTTGTCTTAGGTTGAAGGGCAAGCAGCTGTTCTTGGTTTTGTGGGATCGCCTTGGACGATTGGTACTTATATTGTAGAAGGGGGTACGACTCGCACGTATACAGCGATAAAGAGCATGTGCCATACGGCACCACATGTACTGAGGGCTCTCCTCGCTCATTTGGCGAAGGCGATAGCTGATTATGCTGTTTATCAAGTCGAGTCCGGGGCTCATTGCATTCAGATATTTGATTCTTGGGGCGGACAGCTATCTCCCGCTATGTGGGAGATCTGGTCAAAACCGTATATCAAAGAGGTTAGGAAATTGGTTCTTACCTTGCAATCATCTTGCAGCTATCAAATACATCATCGGATATTGGTGTTTTGGGCAACTATTGTTTTTCATACTTCCATCATCATGTTTGTGTTACATATTCTGGTGTTCCCTTATGATAACTCTATATATTACGCTCCTGAAGTTTCTTGGGTTCTAAAAACTAAAAAAAACTAGTAAATGCTGCTTGAGGATTATAAATCCTGTCTTTGATTTTTGACAGAAGTTTCAGGGTTGATTTACCTGTTAGAAGCTTGAAACTAATAGATCAGTGTCTGGATTTTAATTTTTTTGTCACCATTGTGAAATTGCAGATAGTCAGTACAGTCAAGAGCAAATGTCCTGGCACACCCCTCGTTCTGTACATTAATGGAAATGGTGGCCTGCTCGAACGTATGAAAGATACTGGAGTTGATGTGATTGGACTTGACTGGACTGTGGATATGGCAGATGGTAGGAAGCGTTTGGGACATGAAATCAGTGTACAAGGAAATGTCGACCCTGCTTACTTGTTCTTACCGCTCCCTGCCATTACCGATGAAATTCACAGGTACGATCCTTGGTTTTGTTTGCCCAACTTGTGTCTAATTACAACGATAACGTGTTCCATCGCATTCCCCACAAACTTTAGAAGCTCACCAGTAAGGAAAGGAAAAAAATGGAAGTAAATACTTATTGGTGGCGAAAAGGGGTTTGAGCTAAGTGATTAGCTGATTGCATTTGATTTCTCCACCATGGCTGGGAAGATCAAATGTTCGTGAATGACAACTATTAAGCTAGACGTTTCTGTATTGTTCATGAATTAATTTGCGACTGGAAGAGAGCTATATATGTTCTTTTACTTCATGTAATCATATAAAATGCCTGCTGTTATAGTCTTCCTGAGTGTCACTGATTTCTGTTCCTTTGATCAGAGTGGTGAACTGCGCTGGACCAAGAGGGCACATTCTGAACCTAGGACATGGCGTTCTTGTTGGAACGCCTGAAGAAGCCGTCGCACACTTCTTCGATGTTACTAAAAGCCTGAACTTTTCCGCGCCTGTACAAGATCGCCATGTCGTTGCAGCGACCTAGTTAGTGTGTACGAGCTCAAGATCATCCCTGCAAACACCCTCTCTTTTGTCTATATTTTGGAACATGCTGTAATCTATTGCCTTGCTTCTTTCGGTCTGTCTTCTTCATTCTCTCTTTAGGCTCTTGCTCATCCCCCCATGAAAGCAGTGTTTGTGAAACCGTATCGGTAGTTCGACCGTAAAATGCCATACCGGTACTGGTAGGTGGTTGAACCACGGTTTCAGTACAAAATACTATATCGTTAGCTTTTTCGATACTGTGGGAAACACGATTTTCCTATATTATTATTATAATCATTATTAGGATAATTCTTATTATGGTTAGTAGTCTTCTAGTAGAATTAGGTTTATTCTTAGGGTTTTCTAGTATTTCCCTATATATATGTACTTTGGGTCATTCGTCATATGAAGCAGAAATTAATAGAAAAGTCCTCCTTCCCCAAAACCCTAATCTCTTGCTCTCTCAAATCTCGTCTATCCTTCTCTCTAGAGGCTTCGGCCATTCTTTCTGTTCTTCCCCAATTCTGTTCCTAATCCCTAATTCTCTTCTCAATCCCTAAATCTCTACCAATTCCCAATTTCCCGACACAATCGTTGGAACCCTAAAAATAGGTTTCCTACATCTGGTATCAGAGCCCGGTTTCGAGAATTGAGTTCACCACAACTCTCAACCGGGGACGATTTCTACAACTGGTTCGACGATGAGCTCTTCAAAGCTCTCGAACCTGTCGTGGGCAGAGCTGCGTGACCGGGCTCGCCGCATCGGACGTCGTTGGAGCTCCGAGGAGCTGCCGACCGGGAATGCCGCCACAGCAAAAGTGGAGTGTGGGGCGAATCGACGGGTTAAATTGTCGGCGCATTCGCCGGCCGCCTTTACAGCCGAGACCCAGACAACCCAAACTCCAGTGCCCATCAACCCAGAGATTCATTCGATGAGGGCGAATCTCAGCGTCGGGAGTAATCGACAAAGCAAGGCAGAGGCAGAGGCAGCATCGGGTTTCCATCTCGACCATCCGGACCGACGATCGAGGACTGCCTCAGGTGATGCAATCACCGTCGGAAGAAAGAACTCGGTGGCATGGGAGCCGCCAGCCACACGCCTGGAGGATTTCTCGCTGGCGACTCCTGCCGTGCGAGGGACGACGGCCCCGGAAGCGAGCGAGCCATCGTTGCCGCGAGATGAGTTGCTGGAGAAGAGAGACGGAGGTGGTGAGCCTCTGCGTGCGTCGCGGGCGAAGATGGAGGACGACGAGGGCGGCGGGTTCCCTCTTCCCGCAAGCCTGGGGCTGGACAAGCCACCGGGGAATGAGATGAAGGTTCCGTTGGAGCCTTGTCTTGAGGCGCCAAAGACGTTCGTGGCGTTCGGGCAGACCGGCCGAGGCGAGGAAGGAGCCGCGCGGCAGGAGGCTGCGCGCGCGACAGCTGGTGGCGGCGCGGGGCAGAGCCCGTTCGTCGGGGCTGGCGGGGAAGCGCCGGGAAGCGCGCGGCCTGCGGAGGAGAGCGGGGCCGTAGGCGGCAGCGCCGGCGGCGGCTGGGTCGCGACCGAGGAAGGAGGGGAGTCGGCGGCGATCTCCCTACACTCTGGCTTCGACAGAAGACGTGGAGAGGAGGCGGAGCTCGCCCACGGGAGTTCCTTGTCGGTGGCGTCAATCGACGGGGAGGCGCCGTCAAAGATGCGACCGAAAGGGCGCTGGTCTCCGCGCCATGGGCTGGGCAGTTCGCTGCCTAGAGAGGAGCCGCCGTCGAAGGTGGGGGAGATGGGCAGGTCGCTGTTGGGATTCGAGGCGACAACGGGGAGGACGAGCGTTACCGGAGAGTGGCCACCGTCGGAGGAGGGATCGGAGCTGATGACGATCGAAGTCATGGGAGGGGCGGCGGCAGACCCCTGCTCCCATACGAGCCGCGGCGACTCTTTTCCTTCCACGAACGGCTGCCGCAGCGAAGCGAAGTGAGCCCAAGCACAGTGGTAGCTTACACTACTAGGCCTGGTCCTGGGCCGAAATGGGTTCAGATCGAGGGTGATGATGAGCCATGGAGAATGGGCGAACCGGACCAGCGGATTGGGCCAGAGTTCATAGTTGCGTGGGCTGAGCAAGGGCTCGGATCTGGGCCGGGGTTTGCTAGCCAAAATGTTGAGGAAGGTCACGGGCTGGCAATTAATAAGAAGTCTGATGGGCTCTCCTTGGGCTGGATTCCAATGGACTATCTTATTACATTTAGTTTGCAGGGAAGTGACGTGAAGAAAGGAAGTAGTGGGCTCGTTGAGTTAGGAGTTGGACTTTCAAGGAAGGTTGATCCAAATTCACTTGGAAGCTAATGGAGCCCAAAGAAAAAGCTTGTCTTCATCGTGCACGTGATGGAATCAATGGAGCTGACAATTGAAGGTTCCAAGGTGGCTGAGAGGCACAAGGAAGAACAGTTCTCCAATTCTTATTTCGTAAAATTCGAAAAAGAAAAGGAAGAATTGTTCGGCTATGGAGACCGTGACCTGTGTCACGTGGTTCGAGAAAAGTTGAGGAGAGTCGAGGTCATAGGAGTGGGCTTCATTGGAGTAGTGGAGCACAATTGGAAGAAAAGAAAGCGCAAGAAGGATGAGGATTACACAGAGGACGTGGCAGAGTGGGACAAGTCGGTCAACCTTGAGGACAAGGTTGGTCTGAAGGGGGAGGAGATGTGGGAAACACGATTTTCCTATATTATTATTATAATCATTATTAGGATAATTCTTATTATGGTTAGTAGTCTTCTAGTAGAATTAGGTTTATTCTTAGGGTTTTCTAGTATTTCCCTATATATATGTACTTTGGGTCATTCGTCATATGAAGCAGAAATTAATAGAAAAGTCCTCCTTCCCCAAAACCCTAATCTCTTGCTCTCTCAAATCTCGTCTATCCTTCTCTCTAGAGGCTTCGGCCATTCTTTCTGTTCTTCCCCAATTCTGTTCCTAATCCCTAATTCTCTTCTCAATCCCTAAATCTCTACCAATTCCCAATTTCCCGACACAATCGTTGGAACCCTAAAAATAGGTTTCCTACAGATACAATCTCTGGTATGATCAGCGAGCTACTGACCGAGATAACGACCTGCTTTGTGTAATTTGCATCTTTGATTTTAGTGTTAATGTATCTAGTTATTATTGACTTTTGGAGTTGAAGCTCCCCAAGTCGGAACAGACATTTAACCATCCGAATCGATTCTTCTCCGATTTATCCATCACTCGGTTATTCGTTAACCGGTTATTGGTATTTGGTACTGCCCTTACAGGTTTGATCGTAGGTTACCAGACCAAAACGACCTGGTATTTTCAAGGTGAAAGCTTTCAATGACCACAATTAACAATAATAAAACAACCAGGGACCCATCTCCTAACCTTTGTGTAACCATTGATCTTTTTAAAAGTAATATACCAAAAGAGACAAAGTTCCCAGAAACCTGGCCCTTCAGTCCAACGCACGAGTTTGGAAACTCCATATCGTCTTTCAAAAATGGAGGGAAACGACAACAACCCTAGCTGTTTCACTGCAACTGTGGCCGAGCAGAATAGTCCATTTTTTGGTCTTTAAAAAAAGAAAACCCAATCGTGCTTTGGAAAGGTCGTCGAGCTTGCAGGGCAAGGAACTCGGTAAGTCCACACAACAACGATGATGATGATTTTGATTAGAATAAGAAAGCAATAAGTCAAGCAAAGTGGTCACAAAAGACATAATAAAGAAATGGATATCAGCAGAAGCTGAGCTGCTGCTGCAGCTGCTGCTGTTTCCTATTTTGTTCCTTGTAGTGGGCTGAAGCTAATCCTCCTCCACTCGCTCATGGACACGGTTCACATCGGCGGATTAGGTCTTCAAAGTTTGCGCAAAGACAGAGATATAAAGAATGACTTCACCTTCCCCCAGATAATTTGTGCATTATTGAGCTTGGGGAGCACGATTTCCTGTCACCATCTTATCATGTGGGAACCCTAAAAGTTTGTCAAAACCTGTATGATGATCGCTGAATAAGTTACATCCCCATTCGCCCGAATAGCGCGACGCTAGCAGTGTCGAGAGCGGCGAATTGAGCTGTGTGTTTTTTTTTTCCCGCTACGAAACAAAACCTGACACTGCTTATGGTTTCGAACTTGAACATTTCGTTCGCGCACAACCTCGTATTTGGGTTTTCATATTTTTATCTACCTAGTTGTTCGTTAAAAATAATGTACAACAACCCTGTTAGATGGCGCTTAGATTAGAAAATTAATAGCACTGGACCGGACATGCTACTAATTTCGCCTCTTCGGTCTTCCAATCTCCCTCTGTTCCCTCTCTTCTTCCATCTGCGAGGAGGATATGCAATCGATGGGGAGAATGTATGGTTGTTGCTTTGTTGACCGATTCATTTGTGTTGTTGTTTTTTTTTTGGGGTCAAATTAAACAATGTCAAGTCTTGTTGAGTTTTTCCTCCAACAATCCATTTCCAATGCACCAGTGACGTTATGAGCAAAGATGAAACCACTGCTAAGAAAGTACGCTACAAGTTCGCTACGAAAAATACTAAAATTAGTGCCAGAGAATCAAATGCAATTTCTGTTACAAGAATCACCAATCCTGCCATCTAAATTTCCAGATGGAGTTCCATAGATTATTAGGAAATGATTAGCCATAAAAAGCTATTAATTAAACGATTGATCACAACCTCCAACCAAACACAATCAGACACAAAATCCACTCGATCGCCACTTTGTATCGGTTATAGCAAAGAGATATACACCTCTGGTCACCAGACTCCACAGTTTTTGAAAAAGGAAAGTTCCTCTGCTACTTGCCTTCTCCCCCAAAATCAGCCCACCCAGCTTTGTCTGCGACCCTGACGGCCATTTTCTCGCCAATTTGCTCATTGGTTCTCGTCGCTATTTCCGTCTCTACTAGGCAAAAATCCTTGCCCTCCACGCTTCCACCGAGGACGAGAAGAGTCACTCTTTTGACTGACTCTCTCTCCCACTTTTCTCTCTGTCGACTACAACAGACTCTGTTTGTCGTCTCTTTTCTATAAAAACAGGACAATGCCGCTCACCGTTCCTCTTCCAAGCCCCTTAAAAAAGAAAACTTTGAGCAACCCATTTGCGAGGAAGAGAGCTTAGCAATGGAAAATTTCGATTCACCAAAGCAAGGGTTTCTAGCCGCTCTTCTCTCTACCTATTCGTCGTCTTTTTCTTCGTTCTCTTCATGGTCAGGTGTCAATGACTTGTTTCTCCTGAGACCCATTTTCCTACATGGGCTTTCGGGTTCATTGCACCTGGTTTTGTTGCTCGCCTTGTTCTTCTGGTTCCTGAGGAGTAAATTCAGGGCTGGTGACGATCCTGGTGGCGGCTCCATTGAAGGTTCGTCAGGTAAGCACAGGCGGGGTTTGTGTTACAACCTGACTGTGCTCTGTTCTCTGGGTGTTTCGTTGTTCAATCTCGGGTTTTGTCTGTTCAGTTACTGCTATTGGTATAGGAATGGGTGGTTGGAAGGTGATGAGTTTGTGACCCTATTGGATTTGATTCTTCGAACTTGTTCTTGGGGTGTGCTTACTGTTTTTCTGCACACCCAATTTGCAAATTCAGCCGAGAGAAAGTTCCCATTTTCCTTGAGGGTTTGGTGGGGGTTTTATCTCGCAGTCTCCTGTTATTGCCTTGCTGTGGACCTTGTTCTCTACAGCAATCTCCAAGCCTATTCGCAGATACCAAGTTTGGTTTCTGATGCCGTCTCTGTGTTCTTTGGTCTGTTTCTCTGTTATGTTGGCTTCTTCAGAAGCATGAGTGAGAGTAACACACTTCTGGAAGAGCCACTCTTGGGTCAAGAGTCTAGCTTAGGGAATGGTTTAGAGCCAAAAGTTTCCAGAGGGGATGACACTGTCACTCCTTATTCAGATGCTGGTGTTCTTGGTCTTTTTTCTTTCTCCTGGATGGGTTCTCTAATTGCCCTTGGCAATAAGAAAGCTCTAGACCTTGAGGATGTTCCTCAGCTTTATAAAGATGATAGTGTTGTTGGGGCATTCGCATCTCTCAAGGAAAGGATTGAATCTGATGGGGGATCTGTTAGTGAAGTCACAGCTTTCAAGCTTGCTAAGGCATTGTTCTTTACAGCTTGGAAAGAGATCCTGTTGACGGCTTTTTCTAGCCCTGTCGTACACTGCAGCATCTTATGTTGGTCCATATCTCATAGACTCTTTTGTTCAGTGCTTGAGTGGGCAAGGGGATTATAGGAATCAAGGGTATGTCCTGGCTTCTGTGTTCTTGGTTGGCAAGATTGTTGAGTGCATCACCCAAAGGCAGTGGTTCTTTAAGTTGCAGCAGATTGGCATGAGAATGCGTGCAGCAGTGGTTGCGATGATCTACAACAAAGGGTTGAGCCTCTCGTGTCAGTCGAAGCAGGGCCAAACTAGTGGAGAGATCATCAACATCATGACGGTGGATGCTGAGAGAATCGGCGACTTCGCTTGGTACATGCATGATCCATGGCTGGTTATTTTGCAAGTCAGCCTAGCCTTGTTCATACTGTACAGGAACTTGGGACTTGCTTCTATAGCAACCCTGATTGCCACTATAGTTGTAATGTTGCTGAATTTTCCTTTGGGGAGATTGCAAGAGGGATATCAGGACAAGCTGATGAAGTCCAAAGACAAGAGAATGAAGGCAACGTCTGAGATTTTGAGGAACATGAGAATTCTGAAGCTGCAGGCTTGGGAGATGAAGTTCCTGTCCAAGATTATTGAGCTGCGGAAGACAGAGGCAGGATGGTTGAAACGATATGTTTACTCTTCAGCTTTGATTAGTTTTGTCTTCTGGGGTGCCCCTACTTTTGTCTCTGTCATCACCTTTGGTACCTGCATGCTTATGGGCATCCCATTGGAGTCTGGGAAAATCCTATCAGCTCTTGCAACCTTCAGGGTTCTTCAGGAACCCATCTACAATCTTCCTGACACCATTTCAATGTTGGTTCAGATGAAGGTTTCGGTTGACAGGATTGTAGCTTTCTTGCGTCTCGATGATCTGCCAGATGATGTTGTGAAGAGGCTTCCAAGAGAGGCTTCTGATACTGCTATTGAGATTGTTGATGGAAGTTTCTCTTGGGATTCATCTTCACCAAACCCCACTTTGAGAGATGTGAACCTGAAGGTGGACCGTGGGATGAAGGTTGCAGTTTGTGGTACTGTTGGTTCAGGCAAATCAAGTTTGCTCTCCTGCATTCTGGGAGAGGTACCAAAGATATCCGGCACCATCGGGCTGTGTGGGTCAAGGGCTTATGTTTCTCAGTCACCTTGGATACAGAGTGGCAAGATTCAGGACAACATTTTGTTTGGCCAAGAGATGGACAAAGAAAAGTACGACCGAGTACTGGAAGCTTGTGCACTGAAGAAGGACCTGGAGCTCTTTTCATTTGGTGATCAAACAGGGATTGGTGAGAGAGGTATCAATCTGAGTGGAGGACAGAAGCAGAGAATTCAGATTGCTCGTGCCCTCTACCAAGATGCCGACATCTACTTGTTTGATGATCCTTTCAGTGCCGTGGATGCTCATACTGGATCTCATTTGTTTAAGGTGAATCAAGCACGTTTCCATCTTCTGTTCTTATTCATTTGTTCTTCAATGAAACTTATCTTCTTTCTTCATATTGCAACAGGAAGTCTTGCTGGGACATTTGAGTTCCAAAACTGTGGTGTATGTCACACATCAAGTTGAATTCTTACCCGTTGCAGATCTAATTTTGGTGAGTACCTAATGACACTTTCCCCTTGATTATGCATTGTTGTTTCTTCAATTCATGAAAGAAAAAAGACTCAAATGCATTTGTAACTTTTGGTGGCATAGGTATTGAAAGATGGAAGGATAACTCAGGCTGGAAAGTACAGTGACATTCTGAACTCAGGATCAGATTTTATGGAGCTTGTTGGTGCACATAAGGCCGCTTTGTCTGCGATAGATTCCAAAGCTTCGGAATCTGAGAATGGAAGCACTGTCAGTAAAGAAAATGGCAACATGAGCAACAGCAACGGGATTGAGCAGAAAGATGGAGACAAGGTATTGCAAAATGGTAAAGAAGAAGAGACAGGCGGGCCACAGGGTCAGCTTGTTCAAGAAGAAGAGAGGGAGAAAGGAAGAGTTGGATTTTCAGTCTACTGGCAGTATCTCACCACAGCATATGGA